AAGCAGAACCTAAAAATGAAAACACAGCTTAGCCACAAATTCAACTACAATTCCTGAAAGGAAAAAGGCAAAAAAAATAAATATTTTTATTAGCTTGTTCTCTCAGAGGAGCAGGAAGTATGGACACACACTGTCCAGAGCCTGGAGTTCAGAGTCTTCCAGTAGAGAATGTAGTTACTCTGTATATCAGTACAAGGATCTCCAGAATCTCCAGAAGAACCAAGATTATATTGTGAGGGTTTTATGCCCTAGCACATGGTTCATTTTTGTGTATGTGCCATGTACCACTGAGAAAAAAGTATATTCCTTTCTATCCCCATTCAGTTTTCTCCAGAGGTTTACTATGTCTAACTTTTCTAAAATTCTATTCATCTCCTTAACTTCTTTCTTGTTTATTTTGTGGTTAGATTTATCTACTTCAGAGAGGAGGAGGTTGAGGTCCCCCACTAGGATAGTTTTGCTATCTGTTTCTTTCTATAACTCTCTGAACTTGTTATCTAAGAATTTGGATGCCATACTACTTGGTGCATATATGTTTAGTAATGATATTACTTCATTGTCTATCGTGCCTTTTAGCAGGATGTAATTTCCTTCCTTATGTCTTTTAATAAGATCTATTTTTGCTTTGGCTTTGTCTGAAATCAGGATTGCTACTTCTGTTTTTTTTTTTTTTTACTTCAGCTGAAGCATAAAATTTTCTACTCTAGCCTTTTACCTTACCTTTACCCTTTGTGTATCCCTCTGTTTCAAATGTGTTTCTTTTTTTTTTTTTCAGCCAAACACAAGGTTTATTAGAACATTGTCATATTGGGCAGACTCTTAAGGAGTCTGAATATTGGTAAGCAGTGGCTAGATTATAAGAATCTGAGCAGTGGGTGATTTTAAGAATCTAAGCATCTTAATGGAGACAAGATGGACCTTATATACAGAAAGCCTGTGGGAGGGATCTAGGCCAGCAAACTGGGATGAACAGAACTACTGGGACCTGGACAATGGAGCCTACCTAGTATTAAGTATGAGAAATGGCCGGGGGCCATAGGGAGGTAGGGGACATTGGGTATAGTCACAATGAAATACCAGTTGATGGGATTATAGCCTCAGGTGAACACCAGAGATTTGACCATGTGGGAAAGTCCAGGGTGTTTTCCTTTCTGGGGCCCAGATCCCAAACCCATCATTCCCCCCTCAAACAAATGGGACTCAAATTCTTTTGGAGTAAGGGGCAATTTGAAACTTGAAACAAACCCATTACCAATCAGGTGACTTCAGTTTTATTAAATGTGCTTCCAAATTACTTTACACAGAGAATCAACATCTCATCGTTAACAGTTAAAACTACAAATTTAAAAGAGCATGCTTACCCAAGTTTGGAGGCCAGCTTCTTTACCTCAAGCAGGATGTGCTGAACCTGGGTGATGCTTCCAGGCAAAGGTTGCCCCAAGGCCCAAGGCCAGTGGAGCCTATGCTGTAGCTGCTGCCCCTCTCCCTCCTTCCTTTCCCAGGTGGGGGAGGGCAAAATCAAAGGTAGCAGGTGTTTCAAAACTCCTTAATGATCAATCACAAAACCTCCAGAATGCCCAAGTTATTTTTAGCTGTTCTAACTGTCCCCTATAACCTCCATGGTGGAGGATTCAGAGGTGCAGAGGGAAGGGAGTAAGTAAGCCTCAGGGAACCAAAAAGGAATTGCAGTTTTCTCCAGTTCTCTAGCACCAAGGGAATTAGTATACACTTCCAGATAAGGTATCCATCCTTGTCCTCTATGCTGTGGAAGGTGTACACAGATCCATGGCCTTGAACCGACCCAGTGGAAGAAGAACCTGAGAGGGTCAGGCCGAGTGTGAGACAGCCTGGTAACTGTCTCCCAGAAAAGCACCTCCATGCCTTGATGCTTGGAGAGCGACCCCAACTGCAGAGCAAGGAAGGAAGGTAGTGGGGAGGCTTACATAGCTTTTAGTCTTGGCTGCAGAAGAACTTGGGGTTAGGCAGTTTCGTATGGGCCACCGAAATGTTGTGGTTTAGGGACCCCAAAATGACAATATACAGGTCCTGCCTGAAAGAATTAGACCCAAGCCTTCTTTCAGCCAAAGACAAGGTTTATTAGAACATTGTCATGTTGGGTAGACTCTTAAGGAGTCTGAACATGGGTAAGCAGTAGCTAGATTATGAGAATTCTAGCCGTGGCTAGATTTTAAGAATCTAAGCCTCAAATGTGTTTCTTGTAAACAACATATTGTAGGATTATGGTTTTTAATCCTTTCTTCTATCCACTTCTGTTTTATGGGAGAGTTCATTCCATTCACATTCACAGTTGTGATTACTATCTGTGTCTTTCTCTTCATCCTATTTATCCTCCCCCATTTATGCTTTTCTTTCTCCTTTTCTCCCTTTCCCTCCTCACTAGAGTTTTGCTTTTGACCACTGCTTCCCTTAATCTGCCTTCCCTTCTATCAGCCCCCTCACTTTTTTTCCCTTTTCCCTTACTACTTCTTTTCTCCCCTCTATCTCCCCCTTCCTTTTTCTTTCCCCTTTTCCCTTCTACTGCCTATATGGCAAGTTTGATTTCTGTACCTAAATGGGGAAGTTCTTCCCTCCATGAGCCAAATCCAAGGAGAGTAAAGTTCAAACAATGCTCATCTCCCTCCCTTCTTTACCTCAGCTGTAATATGTCTTTGTGCCTCTTCATGTGATGTAATTTACCCTTTTCTGTTTCTTCCTTTCCTCTTCTCCCATTACAATTCTTTTTCACCACTTCACTAGGTTTTTTATCATCATATCAAAGTCAACTTAAACCCACACCATCTGTCTATGTATATTCCCTTCTAAATGGAGTAATAAAGATACAGTTCTCAATAGCTAGAAGTATCATCTTTCCATGTAGGGATGTAAACAGTTTATCCTTATTGAATAACATGTTGTTGTTGTTGTTGTTGTTTTCCCTTTACTGTTTTCCTTTGTATGCCTTTCCTGAGTCTTGTATTTGAAGATCAGATTTTCCTTTGAGCTGTGGTCTTTTTATCAGGAAAGTCTGGAAGTCCCCTATTTCATTGAATGTCCATCTTCTCCTCTGAAAGATTATGCTCTATTTTGTGGGGTTGTTGATCCTAGGTTGTATTCCAAGCTCCTTTGTCTTATGGAACATCATATTCCAAGCCCTCCAATCTTTTAATATAGAAGCTGCAAGGTCCTGGGTAATCATGACTGTGGTTCCATGATATTTGAATTATTTCTTTCTGGCTGTTTGCAGTATTTTCTCCTTGACCTGATAATTCTAGATTTTGGCTACAATATTCCTTGGTGTTTTCAATTTGTGATTTCTTTCAGGAGGTGATGGGTGAATTTTTTCAATGACTATTTTACCCTCTGGTTCTAGGGCCTTGGGGTAGTTTTCCTTGATGATCTCCTGAAAGATGCTGTCTGGGCTTTTTCTTTTTCTTTTTTCCCCATCATGACTTTTAGTAAACCAATAATTCTCAAGTTATCTCTCTTGGATCTATTTTCCAGATCAGTTGTTTTTCCCATGAGGAATTTTACATCTTCTATTTTTTTTCATTTTTAAAAGTTTTGTTTTGCTGATTCTTGATGTCTCGCAGTCATTAGCTTCCAATTGCCCGATTCTAATTTTTAATGAATTGTTTTCTTTAGTTTGCTTTTGTACTTCCTTTTCTATTTGGCCCATTTTACTTTTTAGGGAGTTGTTTTCTTTAGTGTACTTTTTTTCCCATTTTTTAAAATGAATTGTTCAATTTTTCTTCTACTTCCCTTATTTGACTTTTAAAATCCTTCTTGGGCTCTTCCAAGAAGGCTTTTTGGGCTTGAGACCAGTTCATATTCCCCTCTGAGGTTTCAGATGTGGGTATATTGACAATGCTATCCTCTCCTGAATTTGTGTTTTGATCTTCCCTGTCACCAAGATATTTTTCTATGGTCATTGTTGCTTATATTGTTTGCCTTTTTTTCTGGCTTTTATGCATCTGTGCTACAGGGGGCACTGTCCCAGGCTTCTTGTGCTGGGGGCTGGGGCCTGGTTTGCTGAGGTGGGGCTTGCCGCTGACTCACTGGAACGCCTATCTCCTTGTACCGGGCCCCTTCAGCCACAGCAGGAGGGAACGTTCCCATTAATCCCCCTAGCCTCACGGAGCTAAAAGACTGCTGTATCTTGTCTTTTCTGCTGACTCTACTATTTCAGGATTTTTCCTGGGGCAATGTTCTCTGGGTTTTTGGAGGTCAGTAAGGGAGGGCGAGAGGCCTTACTGCTTACTCCACCATCTTGGCTCCTGGAAGTTGAAATAGGTGACTTTCAAACATTCAGTCTGTGGGCTGATAGCTCCAGGAGCAGTGGTGCAGCTGGTGCTGCCACTGCTTGCACAGCAGCTGCTGATTCAGTCGCTCCCAAAGCCTGTTCCTGGTTTGCTGGTGCGTGGGCTGTATTGCACCCCCTGCCGCACTGCGCTGGGTAGTACTTCTCTCTTACCCAGTTCCGTGGGACCTTCTGAGTTGTCTCTGGCGTCTGTGGGCTGAGAAGAGCGGACCTGCCTCTGCTGCTGCTGATTCTGTCCCCCGAAGCCTGCTCAGGCTTAGTTTAGGCTGGCTCTGCCATTGCGTCCTTCAGGCTGGATGCTCCTGTCTCCGGTTGGTGCAGCCGACCTTTCCTGTTGACCTTCCAGGTTGTCTTAGGCTGGAAATCGGCCTCACTCTGTCTCTTTGTGGATTCTGCCACTCTAGAATTTGTTCAGAATCACTTCTTGGAGGCATGTGAAGAGATTTGGTGGAGAGCTCCGGTGAGTCCCTGCTTTCACTCTGCCATCTTGGCTCCCAGAGCCAGGATCATAGATTCAGCCCACAGAGCTCCCACAATATGCTTTCCTGTACACAACAGATAAGAATTCAACCATGAGTCCCAAACAGGTCTGAGCCAATAGTATCACCTCTCAACAAAGTTGATTGTGAGCTCAGAACCAGACTCAGTATAATTCTCAATGTGAAGCCAAGTTTCTCTGAACCCTAGTTGATCTAAATTTGATAAGTCATTGCATTGCATGAGAAATATACAGAAAGAGATGGAAATGTAGGTCTGCAGTTAAGGAGAAAGATATGGACTAGAGGGAGAGTTTTTAAAGTTATGACAATGAGGATATCGAAGGTAAATTGAATCTGTGGAACCAAATGAGATTTTTAAGAGGAGAGAGAATAGTAAGAGAAGGTCAAGGGAAAAGCCTTAACTAGCCACAATTTTAGGAGGCTGTGAAGAGAATGAAGAACAACAAAGGAGATGGGAAAAAGAATAATTTTAGCAGTAGGAGAAACCAGAGAGTACAGTTTTTGCCAATATGAAGATGGAAGGAAGAGTTTCTTATAGGACCAAATAGTCAATACTGTCCATTGCTGCAGAGTTAAAGAAGATTAAGGACTGAAGAAGAAAAAAAAAAAGATCATGTATAGAATTAGGATAACGCTAGTTAGCTTAGAGAGACCTGTTTCAATAGTATCCTAGTCCAGTTGATAGGACTTTTGCCAAGAAAGGGAAAGGAAATGGAGGCAACAGTATAGATAGCTTTTAGCAATTAAAAGGAATAGAGATATGGGAGGGTAGTATAATGGTCACAGACAAACATATGGATAGTTTTTTTTTTTAAGTTTGTGTTTGTTTTGTGTTGTTTTTTTTTAGGATTGAGAAGACCTATCTATTTTATAACCAATGAAAGAGAATAATATATTGATACTGGATGAGACGGGGGATGACTACTAAACCAAGGTCCTCTAGGAGGTAGGATAGAATAGGCTCAATGTCTAAATAAAAGTCCCAGTGGGTATTAGTTATGTTTCTTCTTCTTTGATTGAAGGTAGACAAAGCAGAAATGTTCTTAACTACTTTTAAGACTTGAAGAGACAGGCTAAGAAAGCTGAAATCAAAGGGCATCAACAGCATTTAAGATTATTTATTATTAAAACTAATGTTTCTATCATTTTATTGATCACCTAATCTGACAGTACTCTGCTTATAGATTAGAGAGAGCCTGGAGAGCTTAGAGAGATAGTATGATTTGCCCAAGTTCACACTGAAGGTAAGACTGAGGACCAGAATTTTAAGTCTGATTTGACTCGAAATTCACTTTTCTTTCCACTGTTTTGTGCTATATTTTCCTCCAGGAAGCTTGTCTATGACATTCTATACCATTTTTAAGCAACTGAAAAGATAATTTTAAAAATAGACTGTAAAATGTCTCTTTGAAGAGGTTCTACTCCCCCAAATGGGGGAAGTTTCCCTCGATACAGATTTGTACAAGACATGGAGCTATGTTTAAATGCCACTCATCTTGGGGTTTATATAAGGCTGTCAGAAATTTTAGTCAAGATATATGATTGGTAAAAAGTGACAGATAATACTGCTTTGACTGTTTTCTTATGAGATCAAGAATTGTATTTGAGTTGGCCAACAGACATGCCATTATTTGTTGTACTGTTAGCAATGCAGAAAGCTGATAAAGGGAGTTTAGATATTCCAGGCTTTTTACTCTAAATAGAATTTATCTTAATCCAAGATTTTACAAAATCATCTGTTCTTGAAACACTTTGGGGAAGGTAGAAAGGAAGGAAGGAAGGAGAGATGTATTAGACAACTACTATTTATTAGGCAATGTGCTAAATTATATATATGTATATATGTGTGTGTATATATATATATGTGCATGTATGTATATATACATATATATGCATAAAATCTCATTTGATCCTCAAAACAATTTTGGGAGATAGATGCTATTATTATTCCCATTTTATAATCGAGGAATCTAGACAGGCAGAGTGAGGTTACATGGTTTTTCCAAGGTCACACAGCTAGTAATTATCCATGACCATGTTTGAACTCAGGTCTTCCTGACTCTAGGACTAATGTTCGATCCACTGTGTCACTTCATTGACTCTGAGCAGCTGGAAATACATCAACAGATTTCACAAGTGGTGACTATGAGGTAGGAATAATGAATGCTAAAGTATGGCATAATTTCAGGGAGAAGGGAAATTTCAAATTAGAGAAGAGAAAATTAAATCAATTTCCATGTGCTCAAATTGCCCATATGTATTTCTGACATATTATTTTGTATTTACTATTCTAGGAGGGAAAATAATTGGAATTTTCAATGTAAGATAATTTCCCTTGTCTCCTGGTTACAAATATAAAAGCAAGCTTTCTTTGCAACAACAATGATACTTCAAGTCTACAAAATACTTCATATATATTTTCATTTTATCCCTGTAAACAAGAATAGAAATTCCAAAGAACCAAATATTGACTAGATGTAAGAAAAGATATTCTAACAGTTGGTGCTCTCTCAAAGTAGAATAAATTATTTTGGAAATCAGTTGGTTCTTCCCCAATGAAGGACTTCAAGTAGAGGCTGGGTATTCACCAGCTGGCTGTATTGTAGAGGAAAATCCAAACCAGTTCGTAAATGGCCTTTAAGGTTTGCGTTTCTGAGATTCTAGGAAACCAGGCTATTTACTTGTGACCTTGCTTCTTTTCTGATGTTCACTAGCCACTTCCCTAATAATATATTCTCATTTTTTTCAAGCAAAGTCAAGCTCACAGTCCTATATTTTAGAGACTCCATTCAATTCCCTTTGGGGGCTATCTGAATATTTGTCCTTCCCAGTCAGGGAGTATCTCTTCTGATCTTCATAATAATTCAAAGATTACTAAAAGTAGCTAAGTGATGGAATTTGTCATTTTTTAAAGTACCATGCCATGAACAATTTGTACTGGGGATTTGAAGGGAAGAAGCTTTTATATATAAAGAATATTATTCACTAGACACTACACTAAACATTTTTTTTTACTAATATTATTTCATTTGATTGATATGACAATCCTACAAGGTAGGTGGGGTAACAGAGGTTCAATTACTTTCCCAGAGTCACATATTAGTGTCTGAGGCAAGATTTGAATTCAGGACTTCCTGACTCAAGACCCACTGTTCCACTCTGCCACTGGCTGCCTCTAATGAAAAGTGAGAGGGAGGGAGAAAGACAGAGATAAAGAGAAATAGACTCTTCCAGTCCAGAAAGGTCACATGATTTGTGGCTCTGTATAAATGAAGTACTTGGCACCTGTGAAGATGCTAGTTACCAAGCTGGTCTTCATCAGTATTTAAGAAGGGGAAAAGAGAATTGTAGGCCAACTAAATAACACCAGTGGTCTTTAGATAGGATGGAGGAAGTCATAAAGAATACAAGTTTGAGGGGCTCAGAGACTCAGAATCAGAGCCCAGAGTTCTTTTTAACAAGAGTAAGGTTCTGACACAGAGGAATGTTAATGAGCTTGCTTGCTTTCTGACTAGCAGAAGGATGGTTTTTTTTTTTCCTGAAAACTGTGTAGCACTGGAATTTGGGGAGAGAGATAGAGGCAGAGAGTCTTACACAGATGTTATCTTGTCTGAACAACTAAAAGGGAAAGGGAAAAATGCTAAGAGAAAGGATTAGAAGATGTATGTCTTATGTGCCACACAGAGTTACCGTTTTCATTCCCTGCCCCAAGGACAAAAATAATTCTATCTTTAACACACCAAACTCTATAAGACATGAAGGTCACAGGAAGTATTCTCACCCTTTTCCAAGAATGGGATTTACTTTGAACAAATGGACTCCTGCACTATTAAAAAAGATACCACCTTGGTCTAGGCAATATGATCTACTGCAGGCCATTTCCATCACTTGTCACTGAGTAAGGGAAGGGTAGCCACTGTGCTTTATGGCATGATTCAAAATATCGATAATGTCATGGCTATCAGTTATTAATTATTTTAATGTTCATGATGACTGAGTTCAAAGAGGAAGAATTCAAAGACAGGTACTGTATATAACCCTGAAGTTGTGCAATTGTTTTACCTCACTGACCCAACCAATATAATTGGAGTCCAAATTCTCTGAGAAAGTTCTATTTGCTGGACTATCAAATAAAATGCAATTTGAAGAGCCTAATCAGGATAAGAATTTGATTACATAATGTAATTCAACATTTAATAAGCATGAGAGGATTCTGGGAAGATGGTGGAGTAGGTCAGAAAATTCCAACCTCTCCAGATTACCCAAACAAAAGTTGAGGCAGAACAGTGGTCCTCTTGGGACAACTGGAAGAACAATCCCAGGAACAAGGCTTGATCCCTGTGAAGTGTAAACATTTCCGGGCTAGTTCCACTGAAACAGCAAGCACTGAGCCCAGGGGCTAGTTGGGTTGGGTGGCAATCTTGGCCACAGCCACAGGAATTTTTACCTCCGACAATGTGGGGAGTTGGGTGTCTGAGTTGGGGGGGTGGGGATTTGAGGGAACCTTTGATGGTAAGGGATACCAGCCCCAACTATACTGCCAAGATGTGGCCCTGGGTGAAAAGGAGCCAGCACACACCTGGTGAGTGCAGAAGCAGTGGGATGGGGACATTGCTGGCTATGGGCACTTATAGGGTAGAGTTCTTGGTTTCTGTTCCAGGGCAGAGGGGAGAACTGAAGGAGGATCTGAGGCCAGGGGCACCATCCCTCATACCCCAGAATTAAAGGTGATTACAATAACAAATTGCTGTGAATTGATAAACAAAGAGCGGGGAAAGGAGAAAGAATCCAACCATACAAAGTTACTGTGGGAATAGAGAAGACTGTTATTTGTCTTTGGAGGAGGATATTCAAGCAAAAAGAAAAAAGGCTTCTTTTACCCCAAAGCTTAGTGTCAAATGGTCACTCACCCAGAAAAGCAAAATTAGTAGAAGAATTTTAAAAAGACTTTAAAAATAAAATGAAAGAGATTGAGGAGAAAAAAAAAAAATCCAAGAAAAACAAGATTGTGAAAAGAAAGTCAACCAATTGGAAAAGGAGATCCAGAATCTTAAGGAAGAAAAATAATGCTTGGAAATTAGAATTGGGCAAGGAGAAGACAGAAAAGTTATAAGAGACCAAGAAATAAAAAAACAAAATATAAAGAATGAAAAAAAAAACAGAAAAAAACATGAAACATCTCGTGCGAAAATACTGATCTGGAGAACAGATTAAGAAGAGAAAATGCAAGAATAATCAGACTACCTGAAAACTATGATAAAAAAGAATCTTGATACAATAATACAAGAAATAATTAAAGAAAATTGTCCTGAAGTCTCAGAACAAGAGGGGAAAGTAGAAATAGAAAAAATCCACTGATCACCACCTGAAACAGATCCTATGAAGAAACCTGCAAGAATGTTATAGCTATTCTGAAACCCCCTATTCAAAGAGAAAATATGAAGAGAACTAAGAATAAAAATTCAAATTTGACAGTCACAATTAGAATCACACAAGATCTAGCAGCAGCTATACTGAAAGACAGGAGGTCTTCGAATACTGTATATTGAAGAGCAAAAACTGAGGTTGTGGCTGAAAATATTAGACCTGGCAAAATGAAGCATGATCCTGAACGATAAAAATGGATGTTCAAGGAATTGACGAACTTTCAGGGTTTTGTTGTGAAAAGAACTGAAGTCCACAGAAAATTGACATACAAAATCCAAGAGAAATAAAAGGTAAGCATCAACTAATTGCAAGGGACTCAATAAGAACAGACTGTTTGCTTTTTCTATGCAGAAATGTCAATCACATGTCTAATATTGTCATTAGTAATTGGGTAGTTTGAAGGAAAGATTGGGGCAGAGTTGAATATGATGCAGTACTAAAAAGGAAATCATCTAGGAAGAGGTAAAAAGAGTAATTATACAAATGAGATGCAAAAGGAAGAACTGACACAGAGGAATTAGATGGGGGGCTTGTAGATCTAGTACCCTACTTTTATCAGGAAATGAGTTAAAGAAAGAACAATACATATATACCTAGAAGGAATAAAAGTCTTCTAAATTCAGAAGGAAATTAAAGGCTCAGGGAATGTCGGGAGGTAGTTTTAGGGGTAGAGGGGGAGAGAATAGAACAGTGGGGGTATAGAAGGATGTCTAGATGGGGGAGAGCCTAAGGGAGGGATCTTTGGAGGGGGATAGGTCAAGTAATAGGAGGGCAAGGTAGTGGGGTAGAAGGAAAGCAGAGGAGTCAGGAGGGATAGGAAATAAGAGACACACAAACATAAAAAAAAATTAGGAATAGAATTTATTAAGGAAAAAAATAAGAGTAGTAATCATGCACTATATGTCAGACATTGTTTTAGGTTATTTAAAATACCTAGACAGTGTAAGGCTGGAATATTGCTCTGGTGTAGAAAACTGTGAGTTGGTGGACTTAGAAAAATATAGAAAGACTTGGACTTATGAAGGAATGTCTTATCCAACTTCAGAAAAACAGAGAACAAACAAGTATAACACAGTCTTACGTATATCCATATGAATATATATGTCCATATATGAGTATGATTATAGATATCTAAGTATATGTGTGTGTACGTGAATGTGTGTGTATATGTTTATGTGTATATGTATGTATTTATGATATATGGTTTCTTGTAATGGAAATTTGTTGTTCTATAGTTTAAATCCTCTCTTATGTTCTGCTTTACAGACAGCAATGCTTTTTTTTTTCTTTTCTTATTTTGTATTTAAGTTTAAAAGAAAAAAAATCATTTAATGAGCACTTTCCTGTGCAAGACACTTGGGGTGAAAAGAAGAAAGGGAAGGGAAGAAAAGGGAAGAAAAAGGAAGGGAAAAGACAAAGTCTTTGGCTTCAGAATGTTTACAGTGTAATTGAAGATGGGTTGAGGAGATAAGTCAAGAATTTAAACAATGTCATACAAGATCAAATATGCCAGAATCATAGGAGATATTTAAATACAATGTGATAAGATATTTGAGGTAGAAAAAAATCCTATTACTGACCTATGAAACAAGACATAATCCACGATGGTTTGTGAATCCCTACTATACAATCAAAACATTTTTGGCCATAGATGTAATATGACTGATTGCAAAGTGTGCAGTCTTCTTGAAGCACATCTATGATACGTGATGGAGTAACTGCCAAAACTCATCACACTTCCTTGCCCACTTCTTATTCCTTTAGGAAATAATGAAGATTCCAAAAGAAACTTGGAATATAGCTCTGATGACTTTAAAGTCCCAGGGTGAAATCTTAAGGAACAAAATATAACAATTATGTTTTTTTTATTTCCTCTTACAATTCAAAATCATGATATTGGAAAAGAAAATATAGGCAGTGAACAGCTGGCTACCTAGATGGTGTTGAAGGTAAGATATGATTTCTGCACCATGAATAAAAGTGCCATAATCATACCTAGGCAAGTGGCTATAAGTAGTTTCCAAAAATGAGCAAGGATGAGCGATGTTTATACAGCGAAATGGAATGTTTAAGAGTTACATTCAACTGGTCCTGAAATATAGAAAGGGCTTTTATGCAGAAACGTGGAGAGATTGTTGTTGTTGTTGTTGTAGAAGAATTAATTGGGAGTAATTTATACAACTTATGAAAAGACAGATATTGGATTGGCATATGGAAAACCTTTAAAAAGCTTTTTAAAGTTTTTCCTTAGGAAAACCTAAGTATAAAAGGTTTCTAACTGTGGAATAAAACTGCCTTGTGTGGTAGAGAGCTACTCATTATGAGAATCATTTTGTCAGAGGCTGGGTGGTTATCATTCACAGGTGCCATGAAAATCTTCATACATTAGGAAAATCCAAAGTCCTTTCCAATCACAAGACTGGATGATTCTATAATATTTTATAAATAACATCTCAAGACTTAGCTTTTGTCCTCATTATTTTGCTTTTCATTGTTTTTCAACATACATTTTTTTAGGTCATCCACTAAAACATGCCATTAAATTTTTGGTAGTCACTTCATTGGCTTGAAGAAACAACAATAATTATAAATTAAACCCCAGTCACCTGAAGGAGGTGCTGTGATTGTTTGAAAACCTAATTTAATTCTGGATAGTAAAACATAGCCTGGGGAATGAGGAATTGATTGGTGTGATTCTCATTTATTTTGGATTGGAGGTAAATGTCATGATCATGTTAAAAACCATCCCTTTTCACATAGGAGTTATTCCTCTTCTATTAGGACAAACCCTTCCTTCCTTCCTTCCTTCCTTCCTTCCTTCCTTCCTTCCTTCCTTCCTTCCTTCGTTCCTTCCTTCCTTCCTTCCTTCCTTCCTTCCTTCCTTTCCTTTCTCTCCCTCTTCCTCTCCCTCTCCCTCTCCTTCTTCCTTCCTCTCCTTTTTTCACATTTCAGCATTTAGGATTGGTAGGTGACCCTAGTAACCTCTGACTTGGTCAGAATACATCTATAATTTTTTTTTTCATTTCTGGTAACACCATGTGAGCTTTAGGGGGTAAAGATTCTTTTGTCTTTGTTCCCAGATTCTAGCACGACTCTGTTGAGTTGCCTTGTAAGAAAGGGGTAAACTGATCAGCAACCATTGGAAAACAACAAGGTCATGCTAGACAAGAATCAGTTGAAGGAACTAGTAATATTTAGCTTAGGAAAGAAAGGTGGAAAAGTCAGAAGGAGGAGAGATGCAGTCTGTCTTCAAATGTTCAGAAGGTTTTCATCTGGAGGATGAATTAGACCAGTACAGCTTAGGCCTAGAGAATAGAACTAGGAATAATACATAGAAACTAGCAGGAGGCAAGTTTAGTTTGGATGTCAGGAAAAACTCCCTAACTACTAAACAAAAAATGGAATGGCCTTTCTCAGTAGGCAGGTGGTTTTGCCTCATTGGAGGTCTTCAAACAGAAAATGGCTGCCTAATTGTTAGCGCTCTTGTTGATGGAATTCATGATTTTTTGCTTACCTATATGAATTGGACTGGGGAAATTAGGTGGCAAAGTGGATTGAGTTCTGGGCCTGAAATCAGCAAGACTCTTATTCCTGAATTCAAATCAAGCTTCCAACCCTTTGTAGCTGTGTGACCTTTGGCAAGTCACTTAACCTTGTTTGCCCGTTTCCTCATTTGTAAAATGAGTTGAACAAGGAAATGGCAAACCCATCCAGTATCTTTGACAAGAAGACCCTAAATGGGGTCATGAAGAGTCAGACAGGACTGAAATGACTCAACAACACCAATATGAGTTGGGCCAAGTGGCCAGCATTGTGCCTTCCCAAAGTGATTTGATGTTACTACATCTACAAAGCAGTCTGCCTACTAATTATAGATTGAAATACTGCTCCAAATGGAGACATGTTCTGCAAGCTATCACAAAATAAGGCTGTGAATTAGTTTTTCAATTAGCATTTACTTTAAATGACTTCCATCTAGAGCTGCCATTTTTGGATCAGTTTCTTTAATATGAAAGGAAAAAAAAAACAGTACCTGCTGTTGTGAAATTTTAAGTGTTTTGGCCTTTCCCAATTCTTAAAAATAGTCTTATGATTTCCTTTTGACTTTTAAGGATTTATCAGAATGATCTTTTCCCTGAAAACTTTGTCTACTAAAAGGTCAAGAAAACCATAGAGATTACTTAAGAACAAGTTCAGGTTAGTTCCTTAGTCTTAAGAGCTGTTCCCTAGGAAAAAAAAAAATCCTTGAAAATGATGCATTTTCTTTAGTAACCAAAGGGCTCTAATTTAAGAAAAGTTACTTCAACTTGTCACTAGTATTTTTAAAAATTCTCCCCCCCCCATTTTATAGGAGTAACTCAACTTTTACAATATCTATTATTTCTAAAATCCAAAAGAAAGTGATTTCTTTTAAAGTTTGACTTTCTTACTCAAGTGTGGTATACTTCATCATATGCAAAGTGA